ACACACACACACACACACACACACACACACACAGGCCGCTTATTACTTTGGAATCTCGTTTTTCTTCATTTTCGTTTCACGTTTTTCTTAATCACATCATTTCATTCGATTATCTTTTTATTTCTCGAATCTGTCAACATCAAAGTATACTTTCATTCACGTTTATTTTATTCATAAGAAAAAATCGAGATTAATGTATCCGAAGATTGCTATCTTATAACGAAATAGTTATTAATATCCTGATACTTTTACTTATTGCATCAATTCTCTTTTTTTTTTCCTCTTGCATTTTTTTGCAATAAGTGTCGAAAACATTTTTCTTTTTTCTTTTTAGCGACGTCAAATTTACCTCTTTTTTTATTACTTTGTATGACGTAAATGTAGTTTCTCTAACACGTTAAGCGCCACGCTTATTTTTAAGAAAGTCCCCGTCAGGTCACGTGTGCCGCTTAGAAGCACTGATATTGTAAGGCCCATTGTTTCTTAGTGTAGTAGAAGATAGTTTACGTTTAAAACGAGATACTTATAGGCATTCATTCAACACGTATTTATATGTTGAAATTTGTCAAACAAATTTAGAAATAAATTAATTTTCTCTAATTCCATAAAACAGTGTAAATTTTATAGTCCTATTGGGATCTCTGGCAGGGGCGTGAAGTAGCAATTCGACCTATCTATTCTAATTTTGAATTTAGCCACCAGATAGCGTATTCAAGTGCTAGAGATCCTACGTGGCGTAGCAATTCGATCTATCTACTCTAATTTTGAATTTTGCCACAAGATAGCGTATTCAAGTGCTAGAGATCCTACGTGGCGTAGCAATTCGACCTGTCTACTCTAATTTTGAATTTTGCCACCAGATAGCGTATTCAAGTGTTAGAGATTCCAATATTCATGTTATACGCTGTCAGTCACTGATGACTGACGTGTCCTAAACAAAAGTCTAGTGTCAGTCACTGATGACTGACGTGTCTTAAACAAAAGTCTAGTGTCAGTCACTGATGACTGACGTGTCCTAAACAAAAGTCTAGTGTCAGCCACCGATGACTGACATGGCCTAAACGGAAAGTCTAGCGTCAGTCACCGATGGCTGACGTGACGCTGAACGTGTTAAGTTGAAAATATTAGGTTTTTAAACAGTCGGAAATGAAGATTTATTTTTTGTTTTGTTTTGTTTGTTTCTTTTGGTTAGTTTTTCTTTTATAATTTTAAATATGTACTTATTATTAGATATTTAAATGATTTAATTCTATTTGAAACTGTTACATATGAATAAATATAACACATAGCGTGACACAACGAACGTAATACCTAAACGTAATATTTACATTGACGTAATACTCTTATTACACGCCTGTGTGTATATTACACGTGTATGAAAAGAAAATTGTTCAGTAATTATTATCTTACATGACAATTCAAATGAAATTGTTAGAAAATAACAAAACCAAATATATTTGTAGACAGACAGCAAAAAGAAAGTATAATAAATAAATAAAATAATTTAATTAAAAATGAACTTACCTCAAATCTGAGTTTACCGATTGGCGGTAATGCGTAAGGAATGCCAAGAAATGCATCAAATTGACGTCCTTGTCTCGTTTTCATGATCAATCCAACCAATGTGCCATTTTTAATCCTAACTTTGGGTTCCACGTCTTGTTGATTTTTTTGACAAGATGAAAATGGCACGAAGGAAAGTAAAGAAGAAAGGCAAAGTAAACTTGCCACTGTCCAGAAACAAAATTGGTACTTCGACAACATCTTTAGAAAGGTGAAAGCTGTCCAACGACCTACTTGATTAAATTTCTTCTTATTTCTTTTGTTTTGTTGCAAACTTGAACGATAACTTTGAATCTTGCAACACCAGTATATAAATGAAAGTTTTCCTTTTTTTCTTTTTTTTCTTTTCTTTTAATTTCAATTTTTTCCCTTCTTCTTCTTCTTCTTCTTATTTTTTGGTTCCCACGTTTTTAATCTAAGAAACAAAAAAGAAATAAATAAAAAGAAAAAATATTTCAATATGAAATCGTTTAAATTGATTTAACGAACGAATTTATGTGTTTATTTTAGTTTTATTTGTTCGTTCGTTTGTTTGTTTGTCTTAAAATTCATCAGAGAAATGGTATAAAGAAAAAATACAAGGTTAATTGAAAAAATTTAAACATTAAAAACATGAAATTCGAGTTTAGTTCGATTTGAATATTCCAAACAAACGTTGATCATCACAATTTAAATATAATAATCAAAAAATCAAAATATAAAGTTTGAATTCGAATGTTCGTAAACCTCTAAACAAACGTACTGTTGTTCTAATCGTAAAAAATATTTCAATATGAAATTGTTTAAATTGATTTAACGAACGAATTAATTTGTTTATTTCCTTAAATAACGAATTTGTTTGTTTATTTTAGTTTTATTTGTTCGTTCGTTTGTTTATTTGTCTTAAAATTCATCAGAGAAATGTTATAAAGAAAAAATACAAGGTTAATTGAAAAAATGTAAACATTAAAAACATGAAATTCGAGTTTAGTTCGATTTGAATATTCCAAACAAACGTTGATCATAATAATTTAAATATAATAATCAAAAAATCAAAATATAAAGTTTGAATTTGAATCTTCGTTAACCTCTAAACAAACGTACAGTTGTTCTAATCGTTATCGTTTTGAATATACACTTAATTATGGTAAATACGTTTATTATAATTATCATTTGTTTTTCCTATTTATTATTATAATTCGAATAAATGTATGCTTTCCGTTGTTGTGTTTCATATTTAAACTTATCAGCAAATCAGTTAGTTAACATTCGAATAATTTAATTATTAGAACCAGTAATCAAATAACTAATTATAATTACGTTTAAATAACGAAAAAAATCTCTTTATACTTTTCATATATTAAAAAATTATGATTTCAAAAAAAAAAAAAAAAAAAAAAAAAAAAAACAAATACAAATATAATACGAAACAAGAAAGGTTTGTATTAAAACTTACCGAAAGACACTGAGAAGAAATCCTTACTTCCTCGTTCCAAAAAGAAAATCCTTGCCAATTTGAATAGAAGTAATGTATCGGTTGAGGAATTAAATATCGTTGATGTTTAATCCTTGATGGTTCAAAACCGACTAACCAAGATCGGTAAAAGTTGTGATGGTCCGCTAATCGATGTTTGATCGTAAATACACACTCGAAGTTTCCTTACGTGTTTGCACGGTTCGATTATTGCATCTGGCTTTTCTTCCTCCTCCTTCTCCTCCTCCTCCTCCTCTTGCTCCTCCTCCTTCTTCACTTCCTTTCCCCCCTTTGGCCTTCTCCTCGTTCATCAAGCCCGCCACCTTTTACAACAACATTTCCTTCTTCGTTTGACTTTGGTACGTCACTGTGATCTTTTATCCTTATTTTACTCTTCGTATTTTCGAATCTTGTTATTTATTTATTCTTTTTCCTCTTTTCCCCCTTCCTATCTCATATTTTTCATCGTTATATTACCAAGTCAAACGTGACAAAGAATAACAGCAATAAGGAAGAATTTTTAATGAACAATTACATGCTATAATCTAAAGGGAAGATGATATTTTTCTTAGAACGTTGAACCCCCCCTGTCGTTTAAATGTACAAAGAATTTATAATATTCTCTATTTGATCTTATCTCTGTACTTTGATATTATTATTATTATTTCTCTATTTTTTTTCTCTTTCTTTCTTAATTATACGTATATATATACTTACACGTACATATTTATGAATTCATTTAAAAGGTACGCAATTTTATATCATTTCAACGTAAACGGTGCAACGAATGAATAAAATTAACATATGATAGAATGTTTTCATTATAATATACATATGTCATTTTTTTTATTTTTATTTTTCATTCGGGTTCGTGTAAATATTTTCTTAACGACAATTTTTTTGTTTTTTTTTTTTTTTTTACTTCAACTTCCTCCCCCTATCCTCATATAACTTAATCATCGTTTTAACATTGCATTGATATTTGCAATTTAATCAGCGTAAACAGATCGTCAACATCATTCATTTGATTATTATAGAATAGTTTTGTTATAATAAATGTTGCATAAATTGAACTGTTTATTTTGAATAAATTGAACCGTTTATTTTGAAAGTAGCCTAACTCTATTTTCCAAAAAATTGAGGTTAGCTACCGCAATAGTTACATTTTTATATGATCTTTTTATTCTGAAGCAATTTGTCACAAATATATTTAAAATTATAAAGATTTTGTAAGACGAAAATTTGCCGAATAACAAAATAAGGAAAAGTTTATTTTCAAAGTAGCATCAATGAATGAGAATAAAAATTTGAAAGTCCTGAATTTATTATCACATCGGGGTTCACCAAGAAAGTTTGAAAATATTGTATTGACATCACTGTATAAAAATATCAGACAAATTGCAACAGCAAAATTCAAGAACATAATTGACCTATTACGATATATACCACCTGGAACATCATGATTTCTTCAAATCCCTTTCACACACACAAAATGTAGATGAGTAGTAAATTGTTTTGTAGATAATGTTTGTAATTTTGTACGTTATGTAGTTAAAAAATGTTTTCAATCGCATAAATTATGTTTCTGAAGTGTTTTAACCCTTAAAGAACACATTTGGTAAAAGTTAGTTAAAGTGCACTGTGGGTGTTTGACACCCCAACGTGTTTGAACGCGTCTCCTGAAGTCGCTATTTAACATTTAGACCTCGCAATTTTTTTAAAAGTAGTTTTATACATCTTTTTTAAAATAGTATAGGTTTTATACCCATCTGAATTAACACTATATGGCGACAAATAACCCATTTTTTCGAATTCAGTACCGTTTTCGAGAGATCAAAAATTCGTTGGGGTGTCAAACACCCACAGTGCACTTTAAGGGTTAAAGATATGTCAAATAAATTGAGTATTGTTTTTTTTTTTTTTTNTTTTTTTCAATTTGAAGCATCTTAAATTATGTTGAATGGAGTTGGGTCCCTTCGAAATTTGATAACAAATCAGATTGTTAATTTTGAAAATGGCCTAACTCCATTCGTGGTTAGAAAACGCATACAATTGGCACTAATTTAATAGGAACTGTAAATTCAACACCTTTAGATGCACTTAAGCAGTATAACTAGTTAGTATATATTTAATTGCACTGCATTCAACATGCAGAATGGAGTTAGGCCATTTTCAAACGAAAGATGTTTATATCATTACGATTGAATAATCAATTAGATCGATTAAGTAGCATTATTTTTGAAATCGATGATATCAATGATAATTTGTAATAAATTAATCATATCGTATACATAATTAACATTTTAATGTAAAGATTACGTTGTAAACTTTATCACGTAATAGAAATGTTACTATTTGTCTTGATTGATTATTATTGAATAAAATTTATTTAGAATTGTTTCTTTTCTCTCTTCCTGTTATTAAAAATAAAAAAAGAACATAAATTATGGACATGTATTTTATGTTATATTGTGTCCACACTACTGATCTGATTTATAATAAAAAAAAAAAGGTAATTTTTCCAACGTCAACAACAACTGCAATAAATGAAACGATGAATAAAATATGATGAAGAATATTAATTAGATTGATTTAATAATAGCAAGATGTAAGATACTATAAATAATATCTGTCAATATCGAAAGTTATTTACGAAGATAACATTAATGAATAAATTGTTGCGTTATCTTTGAACATACGTAACATTTGTTCGAGAACAAATGATAAGTATAGAAATAAAAAAAAATTACGTCTCTTAAGAAATATAAATCAATTATCTAACAATAAGTTATAGAACATAATATATATATATATAATTTAAGAGAAGAAAAATCAGGGCCGGCATAAAAGAATATTGTTCCTTTTTCTTTTTCTTAAATAGCATATAAACTTATTAAATAATTCATTATTTAATTAATCATTTGTTATTCAAACGATACGATAGAATTAAGCAGAAAAATGTAACTCATCTAATTAATTAGCGATAATATTATACTTAAAACAATTTAATTGTCATTTTTTTTTCTGAATAATTTCATGTAATTAAATATAATTATTTACTTTAAATTTCAAATGCAAATGTTAAAAGCATCAAGGTAATGATAAAAACATATGACTCATTTAAAAGTAAACTACCTTCTTAGGATTATTTATCTTTGTGTCAAATATTTCGGAAATTTCTAATTTATGATGATAGTTGTTTTAAAAAATTAATTGAACATTCAATTTCATTTCTTTCGCATTCAACGATAAGTCCAATATAAAACCCCGTCCCTGAGTAAAATGTGCTAATATATATGCCAATGTTATTTATCGTAGTAACTTGAATATCATACAAATTAAAATGTCACGTTACAATGAAATAGAATCGTCTTAAGAGTAATAAGGAAAAACTCAGCAATTTCGTTAATTATTGCACAATAAATATCGTACCATACGGAACGTTTATCTCAAACGAACTTTTGAATACTGTAACCTTCTACTATACGATCGAACGAGTTTTCGACGAAGGTCTTTTAAATGTTTAGCATTTTGTTGTTTTCGAGATCAGATAAACCACATGGTTAAAAGACTTCTTGCATTTACATTCTAAATGTAAAAGAATATTTATATATATATATGCATATATATATTAATTCAATCATATGTTGATACAGGATATAAAACTGACTCTAAAACAGTCTACACTCCATTTCACCCAGTTGATTTGAAGGACGGAATTTATTCTTACTGTTGATACGTCACTTTGATAAATTCCTTAACACGTATGCTTCTAAGAAATCATATATGTTTATCTATATGCTCAATAGTTGTCGCATACGATTAGGATAATATTAAATAATTGAAATATATTGTATTAAACAACCCTCGCATAAACCTACACAACAGGGTGAATTCATTTCTATCAAACAACTTTCAAATCGTATC